GGGGTCATGACTGAGCTGAAGGCAGTCATTTCACCGACTGAGCCCCCAGGCTCCCCCCAAATATACATTTCTTATTATCAGCTCACAACATCACAAGGCCCCAAACAGACCCACACACATACAGAGCCCTGCAGAGCACTGGACGAAGGCGAGTCTTTCCAGAGACCACAGAATGACTGGGGGACCCAGATGATAAGAAATACAACCTGCCCTCTTCCCTCACGTCATAAACAAAAATGAATCCAGCTGAGCCGCAGATCTGAAGGTGAGAGGCAAAACAGCCGCGCTTCTGGAAAATAACCGGATGGAGCATTCTGTACGTTTGTGCCTTTGGGGTAGGGCAATACATCCTGAAAAAGACACAAAAGTGCTAATCATAACAGACAAGACTGATGAATTCTCCTGCAGCAAAATCAAGGGCCACTCCGCATGGCGCAGAGAGGAGCTAACAGGATTCTCGAAGTATTGCGAACTTGATGGAAATGTCAGGGCTGCCTATGGAAACCCATGGGACACGGTGCGAGTCATTCTTGGGGAGACATGTATCGCCTTGCTGTATTTATATGAAAACAAGAAGGGCTTACAGATAAGTGAACCACACTGTCCACTTCTGAAACCAGAAAAAGAACAACAAAATAAATCCAAAGAAAATAAGGAAAGAGAATAAAAGCAGAGGTTAGGAAAACAGAAAATGAATCCCCCAAATAGAACAAAACCAAGGGCTGGTGTTTTGAAAAGACTAATAAAATAGACAGCCCTTCAGCATAAAGCATCAGGAAAACAAAAAAAGAAGACACAAATAAACAACATCGAAATTAAAGAGAGGACGGAACCAAGAGATTAAAAAAAAAATATGACCAGGAAGGACTTAATACCCCACATTTGCAAACCTCACTGAAATGGACACTTTTCTAGGGGCACACTTATTGGCAAAACTGGCCCAGAAAGAAAGAAAAATCTGAACAGGCCGAAAACCAAAAAGGAAGATGACATGTTAAAGACTTACCTCCAGAGGCATCTGGAAGTTATATATCTGCACGAAACACACACACCACAACTACATGTGACAATTATCAGCTAAAAACGTAGGAGAACATCTTCTTGACCCTAAAGCCAGGACAGCCCTCCTCAGTAGGAGGAAACAGCCAAGTCATAGAACAATGTTAATAATTTGACCATATTGAATCAAAAAATGCCAATCCTACGAGAAACACCAGCAGCACACGGGGGGGCCTGGGTGGCTCAGTCGGCTAAGCGTCTGCCCTCCGTTTGGGTCATGATCCCGGGGTCCTGGGATGGAGCCCCCTGCCCACCGTCATGCTCTCTGCTCAACGGGGAGCCTGCTTCTCCCTCTCCTTCTGTCTGCCACTCCACCTACTTGTGCTCTCTCTCTGTCAAATAAATAAATAAAATCTTAAAAAAAAAAAAAAGAAAGAAAAAGAAAGGAATGGGCAACAACTCCCATCAGGATTGTCTCAGGAGGAAGAATTCGTTTCCAAATGGCTGGCCAGCATTATAAAAGCAACGTCATGTTAGAACAGAGACAACTGTGTGCACCCATCAGGTGAGCAAAAAATCTGGAAGTTAAGTAATATCAGTGCTGAGAGGTGTGCGGTTGTGCACACCTAGCCGGTGTGGGGAAGAGAGTCAATGTGAGAGCCCCTTTGGACCAGCTCCTTAGTGGCTGCTGAGTCTGGAAATGTGGATGTGATTAACTGCTAGCAACTCTTGTGTTTTTATCTGAAAAGGAAAAAAAAAGAAAGAAAGAAAATCCCTGTGAATGCCCAAGAAGGTTTATATGCAGACATTCATTTTAACGTTTATTTTTTTTAATTTAATTTAATTTTTAGGGATTTTATTTATTTATTCATGAGAGACACATAGAAAGAGGCAGAGCCATAGGCCAAAGGCGGACGCTCCACCACTGAGCCACCCAGGCGGTCCTCGTTTTAACATTTAAAAAATAAAAGCAAACACATGCTTTCTGTGTAAATGTCCACCGATGGGTAGAGGGGTAAGCAGACGGTGATGTGTTAAAGAGGCAGCGTGTTTAACAACAGTCAAAATGAACGTGTCAGAGCCACAGAAATCAGCATGGCTCGATTTCAAAAATATGGCTGTGGGGGGAGGGGGATAAAAAAAGCAAGATGCAGAGTAATCTGTACAACATGATACTATTTTTTTTATTTTTATTTTTTTATTTATTTATGATAGTCACAGAAAGAGAGAGACAGAGAGAGGCAGAAACACAGGCAGAGGGAGAAGCAGGCTCCGTGCACCGGGAGCCCGACGTGGGATTCGATCCCGGGTCTCCAGGATCGCGCCCTGGGCCAAAGGCCAGGCGCCAAACCGCTGCGCCACCCAGGGATCCCAACATGATACTATTTTATAAGACACGCACAATGTTATATAGTTCCAGGTGCATCCACGTGTGTGAAAGTACTTCACAACATCTGGAAGGACACAGGCCCGACTGATGAGATTGGTGGAACACAGAGGCGGCTCTGAGGGACAGGAGGCAGGGAAACCAGGAGGGCCGTGGTGGGTTAAGAGGGGCATTAGCTCTATCCGCAGCACTTTACATTTCCCAAAGGAGAAAATGGATGTAACGTGCGTAGGGACCAGGCAAGGGCAGGCATCCCAGGTGTGCCACTTTACTGTCGGGTAGTGAGCATGTCCCCAGACTCGAGAGGCAGGCTCGGTGCAGGGGAGCGTGTCCTGTATTTCATCTGGAAATCCTACAAGGTTAAGGTTTGAGGGGGTCCAGCCAGATCTCAGACGGGTCTGGAGTCCCAGCAGGGACCGATGTGACCTCAAGGCAGACATAGGGACCTCCAGGCTTGACCTGATCCCCAGGGAGACCAGGAGCCCCAGGGCTTGCCGGGAAGGCAGCAAGAGGGAGCCAACACAGAAGCCACGAGACCTGCTCTTCCCTGTCCCCCTAGACCAGAGGCCGATGCTGGGTGGATGAATAGAAAAGAGAGACTTCGGCATAGTTGCTCCCCCCAGAGACCGAGCATCACCTAAGGGCCGTTTAGTGTATCTCTAAGAAGTACGTTTTGATTGTAAGGATGAAAAGTTTATTTATTTTATCACGAAGCTACGGGTAAGTGCTCGGAATAGCTGGTTAAGTAGGACTTCACGTCGTCTGTGCTCGCCTGGTCACGGCTGGAGGGAGCTTTGTGGCCCTGCTCCCCCTTCTCCTGGCCAACTTCCCAGGGCTTTGCAGTCTCTGTCCTCCCCGGGGACCACTGTCTCCTGCTCCACACGTCTCCTGCCGCGTGGCTGGGGCTCAGGTTCCACAGCCTTAGTCATCACCCCACGCTTGGGGTTTATGGAAGCTTGGGGCCTCCTGAAGTTCAAAGTCTGCAACCATAGTAAAGAGGCCCACTGGACTGGGCTTGGGCAGCAGCTGCCGCCCAGCGCCGGACACTCCCAGCCGCTCAGAGGGCTTTCGGAGGCGGGGGAGGAGAGCCTCCGGCTGGCCCAGGCTTGGCCCTGTGGGTCCCAGCCCTGCGTCTGGCCTCCTTGAACTTTCTGCTTCTGAAAAAGGAAGTCAACTATCTCCATTTTGACCTCGACCTCGGTCTGTACTCGCTAACTGATTAAATTCTTCCTTGGAGCTTATCTCTTAAGTCTGGGTGAAAGACCCTGCGGGCATAGCATCTCGTGGTGGGGACCTAAATTACCCCCTCAAGCCACGAGGACTGCCCTGAGTCACCAAGACCCCCGTGACTGACCCCAAGACAACAATCAACCTGACCTTCACTGCCCACCTGCACGTCCCCACCCACCTTTGTCCCACACTGTCCTTATATAAACCTAGAAGTGTTTTCAGCACTTTGGGCACAGTCTTTGAGACGCTGTGCTCATGTGGGGGAGGCCTCACTGGAATAAATTCTCCTTTCCCCACGACTTGTCTCTCTGCCTGTGGATTTTGTCAGTGGCATGAGGCGGAGCCCGGTCTGCCTGGGACCCCCGGGGCCAGGTGCTCGTGCACCTCTGCACCCCGGCTACACTCCCCCCTGCTCAGGCCTCCTTGTACCACATTTACTGTGAACTGTTCCCAAGATGCAGGGGACGGGCCACCTGTGAGAAGCCTTCAGGCCCTGTGAGTTTGGGGACACCACAGCTCCTGCAGAGCGCAGATTTGGGGTACAGAAAAAATTCATGACTCAGTGGAGTACGATGCATCATCTACCACACGTCCCTGCTGCTGTTGTGTGACTCCAGTCCCTGTCTCTTTCACGGGGTGCAGATGTTCTCTCTAGGGGTTCAGTGATCTCCCCACCCCCACCCTGCAAAAAAGCTGCTTCTGCCTCGGCTTAGATATTCATTTCAATGCTCCTCATCTGTACACGGGTCTCCTTTTCCATCCTCTTTGAACTGGTTTTAACATCTGCCCCGTTGCTTCGCGGATTAACGAGAAGAAAGACTTCATCTCTTGTCCCTATTTACACCTGAATGAGAATTAGGGTTTCATCTTTTCCTGAAAATTATCTTTTTAAAAAAAGATTTCATTTATTTATTCATGAGACACACACACACACACACACACACACACACAGACAGAGAGAGAGAGAGAGGCAGAGACACAGGCAGAGGGAGAAGCAGGCTCCCTGCGGGGAACCCTGATGCAGGACTCGATCCCAGGACCCCGGGGTCACGCCCTGAGCCCAAGGCAGACGCTCAACCGCTGAGCCCCCCAGGCGCCCCTGAAAATTATCTTTGAATAGGGTTAGACGACCCGAGCTCAGTCTCACTGCTGCAGCTTACTGGCTTTGTGACCTTCGGGCCACGGTTCTGCTGCAGAAGCGGGTTTGGTGGGGACAGACAGGGAGGCTCCGAACCTGGGATGCCCCGCAGCCGCGGCCCCGCCCCCGCGCAGGCCCCGCCCCCCGCCCCCACAGGCCCCGCCCCTCGCCGCGGCCCCGCCCCCAGGCCGTCCTCCGACTACAAAGTCCGGGTCACCCGGGGGGCGAACCCAGACCGCGAGCCGCGAGTCCACAGCCAGACCGAGCTCTCCCTCCGTTGGGCGGGGCCAACCCCGCGCTTGTGATTGGCCGGCGGCCGGAGGCGGGGCTGGGATCTGGCCTGTGATTGGCTGCTGGTCGGAGGCGGGGCCGAGCTCGAGCTTGTGATTGGCCAGCGGGCGGCGGCGGGGACGGGGGCGGCGTCGTGATGGAGGCGGCAGGGCCCGAGCCCCCGGCGGCGGCGCGGCTGAAGGCGCCCCCGACCCCGGAGGAGGAGCGGGAGCGGCGGCGGGCGCGGCGGCGGCCACGGAGGAGGTGGGCAGGGGTGACGGGAGCCGCAGTGGCGGGCGGAGACCGGGGTCGTGCCCGCCGCCGCCGGGGTCCGCGCGGAGGCGGAGGGGCCGGCCCGTGCTTGCCCCCGCCCTTGCTGGGCCGGAAGGGGCCGGTGGGGCTCTAAGCTGGGGGTCTCCGGGAGCAGGTGGCTAACGGCAGGAAGGGTGTTCCGGTCGGGGGAACCGAGTGGCAGAGGCTCAGCGGCAAGAGAGGGGCGGACGTGCCCTCCTGAGCCCGGGCTTGGCTTCTCGTTGGGGCATTTGCTCCGCTGGAGGAAGTCAGCAGCACCTGGACGGCCTTCCCGGAAAGAGCGTCCCTAACTTCGTTAGATCTCTAGGGGTGAGACCAGGCGCGTGCAGGCTGCACAGGGCTGGGAAGCACGTGGTTCGGGCTGGTGGGGAAGGTGTTCATCTTTGGGGAGGCATGTTGCCTTGGCGTTCTCCGTCCTCAGGGAGGAAGAACAGGTGCAGAGGTCATCTGGTACCCACGGCAGGTGTCCAGACAGGTGCGGGGGGGCGGGGGAGCTGAAGGTGGGGAAATCACGAAGGCAGAGGGAGGAGCAGCGTGGTGGGGTGACGTTCCAAAGGAAGCATTTTCCTTTTTTATTTTTTTATTTTTATTTTTATTTTTATTTTTTTTTATTTTTATTTTATTTATTTATTTTTATTTTTATTATTTTTTATTTTTTTATTTTTATTTTTCTAATTTTTTTAAATTTTTTTATTTATTTTATGATAGTCACACAGAGAGAGAGAGAGAGAGAGAGAGAGAGAGAGAGAAAGAGGCAGAGACACAGGCAGAGGGAGAAGCAGGCTCCATGCACCGGGAGCCCGACGTGGGATTCGATCTGGGGTCTCCAGAATCGCGCCCCAGGCCAAAGGCAGGCGCCAAACCGCTGCGCCACCCAGGGATCTCTTTATTTTTATTTTTATTTTATTTTTTATTTTATTTTATTTTATTTTATTTTATTTATTTTTTATTTTATTTTTTTTATTATTTTTATTTTTATTTTTATTTTTTTTTATTTTTTATTTTTTATTTTTTTTATTTTTTATTTTTTTTTTTATTTTTTATTTTATTTTATTTATTTTATTTTTAAGGAAGCCTTTTCCATAGTACTTCTACTTTTCAGGAGACTCGAATATCTCACCCCTTTCACCCACCCAGGGAGTTTCAAGATCCCCCTAAAAAGGTCCAAGGAAGTGGCGGTGGAGATTGGGCGATCTCTAGAGCATTTCCCACTCTGAAGCCCAGGGCCGGTATCTACGGCAGCTGCAGTGTCTTCTCGCGTTCTAGTGATAATGGCACCGAGCAGGAAGCCTGATGATGAGGGCCTCGATCCCAGGACCCTGGGATCACGACCTGAGCCGAAGGCAAATGCTTAACCTGCTTTGTTGGGTTCTGAAACTCTTAGTTGTGTGAGTTTTCCAGCTGCTTGGCCCCAACAGAACCTATGGACCTTATGAAGTATAACTTAGGTCTCCACAGGGTGACATCTGGGGGGCTGTGGCAGAGGGCTAGGTGTTTGCTCATAGGACAGGGGAGCGCTGTGGGAGGCCCGCCGTGTCGCTAACACCGGCTGCTGTGGGAGGATCGGCGCCTACTAGCCTCTTAGGTTCAACGCAGTATTTCCATAGTCTGCATTCAAAATGTAACTCGGAGAATAGCGCCGCCTCCCCTCTGCATGTCTAGATGGGGCCTAGTCCATTTGCTTGTCAGTGTTCTTTTTCTTCATGCTTTTACTTAAAAAAGCATGGGATCTCTAGGTGGCTCAGCGGTTTAGCACCTGCCTTCTGTGCAGGGTGTGATCCTGAAGTCCCGGGATCAAATCCCATGTCGTTCCCCCTGTGTGGAGCCTGCTTCTCCCTCTGCCTGTGTCTCTCATGAATAAATAAATAAAACCTTTAAAATATATATATATATATTTATATAATAATATATATTATTTTTTTTAACTTCTCTTTGCTTAGAATTGAGGAGGAGCAAGAAGAAGCAGTGTTTCATGATGTGGTCAGTTTTACCCCGGATCCTCTGCCAGGTGAGAAGGATGGAGGCTCTGCACGCTGTCTCCGAGTTCACTCTTGGGGCCTCGGGGTCAGGCCCGCCCCTTCCTGTTCTAGTTTTCCTCTCTGTTGTCAGAGCATCACTAGGGACCCCACACTTTCCATCGATTCCTCATTGTTTCCTCCCCTGACCAGGTAGATATTATGACAAGGACACCACCAAACCCGTCAGCTTTTACTTCTCTTCGCTGGAGGAACTCTTGGCGTGGACGCCCGGCGTGGAGGACAGCTTCAACGTGGCCCTGGAGCCCTCCGAGTGTCGGCAGCCACCTCTGAGCAGCGAGAGGCCCCGGACCTTGCTGTGCCATGACATGATGGGCGGGTACCTGGATGACAAGTAAGGCTCTGCGAGGACATCGCCCCATGTTAATTTTGTGGCCTGTTTTCCTTGCCCGGGGTGGGGATGGAGGGGAAGGAGGGAGGGAGAGCCGTGTGGCCGAGAACACCGGCTGGGTGGGGGAGTCAGGAGATGGGCCTCTGGACCACACTGCCCTGACTGGGTGAGGAGCACGGGCCTCCTGTTTCATCTGTAAGAGGACGCGGGCCAGGTGAAAGCTGGTGCCTCTTGCAGCCCTGAAACCATTGGCCTCCAGGAACTGCGTGCCCTTGAAATCTGGTAGGCAGGGCGGGTACAGCAGTGGGCACCCTCTCCACACTCTTGGCCTCAGAGCGTGGTCCTCACCAGCTCTGGCTTCGGATGTCCGGCTGTGACACTCGCGCGCCTCCAGAGTTGGTGCGCGATCTGCTCAGAGGTCTTAAACGTCTATAAAACAGTCTTGGACGGGACCATAGATGGGAAGGCTTGAGTCAGGGCCAGCCACCAAGGGCCAGGCAGAGGCAGGTGGTGACGTCTCGGGTGTGGCTCATGTGGTTATCAGTCTAGGCCGTCCTGGAGGAACTGCGTTAGGGACCAGCGCGGGGACACCAGGCTCCTGGAGCTTTTGCACAAGCCCTTGTGCTTGTCTTTTCTCCTGTCTTGTCCTTGTTGAGGCTGAAAACGCTCAGCCGCCAGGTGCAGTGGTGACTGCCGGCCGGGTCTGGTGAGGAGGTTTCCCTGAAGACCTCTGATCTACCGGCCGAGGCGTAGTCCTGCTTCTCGCTCCAGCCAGCATCTACGCCGTGCCTGGTGTCCAGTGAGCTTCAGTTAGCGTCGCTGGCCAGGACTGGAGAGAAGCTTCACCGGGGTCCCCATGTCCTGGGTCCCGACTGCTCTGTTTCTCACACAGGTTTATTCAGGGTGCAGCGGCGCACAACCCCTACTGCTTCTACCACTGGCAGTCTATTGACATCTTTGTGTACTTCAGCCACCACACGGTGACCATCCCCCCCGTGGGCTGGACCAATGCTGCCCACAGGCATGGGGTCTGCGTGCTGGGTAAGACCCCAGGGCTCGCCTCCCACTCAGCCAGACTTGTTAGCACACCTGTCAGGTGAGCCGGTGACGAAAAAGCTTGGCCTTTGCTTCTGAGTAGAGCTCCTCAGCTGGGGCTTTCTTGATAGGTTAGGACAGGCGAAGCAGACTTCTGGACGGGGCCAGGCCACTGGGTCACTGTCCTAGCCGAGACTGGGCAGCCACAGACAGTAGGCAAAGTGGCTGCGTGCCAGCAAACTGCAGTCATGAACCCAAGCGGTGGGCGGCCGTGGCCCACAGGCCGCAGGTGGCTGCTCCGCGGGCAGAGTGGTTGTTTCCCAAGCTTTCTTCCCCCGCACCTGAATCTTTTATGGCCTGTTTGGCACTGATTGCCGGGCTCTGCCCGCAGGTGGTTTAATTCCCCAGCTCTCCGGGAGAGCCGAGAATGTGAGCGGGCGAACAGCTCGCCGGCGATGCAGTTGCAGGAACCACACTCTGCCAACTGCTGGGTTCGCCTGACCTCGTTTCTCTGTGTCCTGCCAGGGACCTTCATCACCGAGTGGAAGGAAGGTGAGCGGCTCTGCGAAGCCTTTCTGGCCGGGGACGAGCGCTCCTACCAAGCCGTGGCTGATCAGCTGGTCCTGATTGCCCAGTTTTTCCGTTTCGATGGCTGGCTGATCAACATCGAGAACTCTCTGAGCGTGAGCATAGCCTCCCTTCCGGTGCTTGCCCAGCCCAGCCCGTGGCCATGCGCTGTCCCTCCGCCGCTTTCCTCGGCCTCCCTGTTAGGGCAGCAGGAGCTGCTGCTCGCCTCCGAGCTAGAGCCGGCCCAGATTTCTGTTATTTCTCAGCGACACAGAATGTTCTCCGGCGCTGTGTCCAGACACCCTGGTTGGCTGAGCTTTGCCCTGGTGCTCCTTCAGGCCGACAGCTCTCCCTCCTCCGTCCGGCTTGCTCGGGCTGTGTGTGTGGCTTCCCTTCACGCTCCCTCCCCTTTCATGGCGTTTTGTCTTTCCTTGATTGCTGCGCCCATGTCCTTCCTGCTTCAGAAAGAAGGAGAGTTGGGGCGCGGGTGGCTCAGGTGGTTGTCTGACTCTTGATTTTGGCTCGGGTCATGGGACCGAGCCCCAAGTCGAGCTCCGTGCTCAGTGTGGAGTCTGATTGTCCCTCTGCCCCTCCTCCGGAGCGCTCTCTTCTCTCTCAAATAAATAAAATCTTAAAACAAAACAAAACAAACAAACAGAAAAAAAAAATCGAAGAAAGGAGGGACAGTGGGAGATATCTGGCTGGACCCTCCCCTCAGCGTCTATGGGGTTGGGGGGGCTCCAGGGACCGCGGCTTATTTGGAGTGTGTGTTTGCTTCTGAGATGAAGCATCCTCCTGTCTGTCCTGCGCTGGGCACCTCTCGTGACAGGCCCACGCCTCACCGAGGGTCTGCTCTTCACCCCCCTCCAGCTGGCTGCAGTGGGGAACATGCCCCATTTCCTCCGGTACCTGACCGCTCGGCTCCATGAGCAGGTCCCCAGGGGCTTGGTGCTCTGGTACGACAGTGTGGTGAGCAGTGGGCAGCTCAAGTGGCAGGACGAACTAAACCAGCACAACCGGTGAGCCGGGCAGCCCTCTGGGTGGGGAGGGCGGTGGGAGTGCGGCCTGCTTCCGGGGCCTGGCACACATGACCGCCCCCGTGGGAGAGGGCGGGGGTGGGGTGCCTGCTACTGGCCGCCCTCGGGTGGGACTACGCCAGGGGTTGGCACTGTGCCGAGGGCTGTAGGCCGTGCCTCCCTGGCTGGGGCCCTGCTCTTTGGGGCAGGCTGCGTTCTGGTCCCAGAGGCAGCTGGGTCCAGGGTGGGGATGGGATGGGAGGGGAAGGAGGGGGAGATCCGGGGCGGGCGGCCCTCACGGCCGGTCCTCACCACCTGGCAGGGTCTTCTTCGACTCCTGCGACGGCTTCTTCACCAACTATAACTGGCGGGAGGAGCACCTGGAGCGGATGCTGGGGCAGGCCGGGCAGCGCCGGGCGGACGTGTACGTGGGAGTGGATGTGTTCGCCCGTGGCAAGGTCGTGGGAGGCCAGTTCGACACGTACAAGGTGGGTGGTGGCCCTCGAGGCTGGGACGGGGGCGGGGGGGCGGGCTGCAAGCCTTCCATGGCCTGGTTTTCTTGGGGACTTTCCGTTCCCGTGTGCCCTCAAGGGAAGGAAGAGGCAACATTCTTCCCGGAGAAACATGGGTGGCCCCCCCGGGGCCAGGCTGTGTCCCGAAGCCCCAGCCTGCAGCCGCCCTGCAGTCAGGCGGTGCTTTGTACACAGGTGTTCGCGGGCAGAAGCACCTGTTCAGACGCGCGCGTCCGCTCTAGCTAGTGGTTGCCTCTGCCTGGCGGTTTCGACCGTCGGGTGGGCTCGGGGAGCTCGGGGCTAAGGACCAGGTGAAACAGCCAGTTTGGGGAAGTGCTGGTTTGATACCAGCGGGGCTTTCTCCAGCGAGGCCAGGCACGTCGGCAGCGAGGAAAGACAGGAGGGGACGGCCGGGGCTGAGGCGCCCGGTGCGGGGTCAACAGGGAGTCCGCTCGGCTCCTGGGCTGCCAGGCCTGCCCCTTCCCCAGGGCCACGGGGATGTTCTTCCTCATTAATTAAGCTCTAAGTGAATAAATTAATCCAATAACTGAAGATTCTCTTCACCCGTGGTGAGTCTGCTAACGTGACGACGGGTACAGCCAGGGAGACCCATGCAGCCTGTGGGTGCCTCCGGAGACCCCTGCCCGCTTGCAGCCCTTCTGCCCACCGCTGCCCCCCTCGGAGCTGGGAGGGAGCCTTGGCAGCCAGGCTCGGCGCTTCCAACTTGGAAGGGGGGGTCCCCGGACTTGTCTCCGCAGTCGCTGGAGCTGATCCGGAAGCACGGGTTCTCGGCGGCTCTCTTTGCACCTGGCTGGGTGTACGAGTGTTTGGAAAAGAAGGATTTCTTCCAGAACCAGGACAAGTGAGTCCTGCCTGTCCCAGGGGCTTTGTGATGGCCGGAGGGGGGAGCTCTGGCAATTTCTCTGGTTTCCCTGGACACATAGGGCAGGCTGAGGGCTCAGACGGAGAGAAGCCAGCCATCGAGGCTGCTTCCAGGTGGTGTGGGGGGGGCCTGGCAACCAGTTAAGCAGGAAGGGGCGAAGGTTGGGGACCTTGAGGGCCCCCCCCAACTGCAGACCTGCATCTCCGGCACATCTGGCGGGGTAGCCCCGCTCCCTGGGAGGGACCCAGAGAGTGACCTCGGGGGTCCCCTGCACGTTCCTCTGCAGGTTCTGGGCTTTGCTGGAACGCTACCTGCCCACACACAGCATCTGCTCTTTGCCCTTTGTCACTTCTTTCTGCCTGGGCATGGGCACGCGAAGAGTGCGCTACGGCCAGGTGCGCGGGGTCCCGGGTGGGCCGCCCTCTCTGACTTTGGTCTCTCCCGGGAGAGGTGGGGGGCTCGGGGCGGGGGGCTGGCGGCCCCGGCGCTCCCTCAGGCGGCCCCATCCTTCAGGAGGAGGCAGAGGGGCCCTGGTACCACCCAAGCGCCCAGGAGATCCAGCCGCTGTTCGCAGAGCACAGGCTGGAGGGGGCCGGGCGGGGCTGGGTGAAGACGCACTGCTGCCTGGCGGACGCCTGGAACGGGGGCAGCTCCCTGCTCGTCCGCGGGCTGATTCCACGCGAGCAGGACCACGTGGCTGTGAGGTAGGTGAGTGCGTGGGGAGCGAGGTGCAGGGTCCTGTGCTTGCCCTCTCCCTGGGGAGCACTAACTTGGGCGGCTGGGCCGCAGTGGCCAGAATGAGGACGGGCCACAGCCAAGGTGGCCTTTGGGGTAAAGAGCACAGAACCTTCAGTTCACCCCCTTCCCCATTTTGAGTGTGTGATGCAGTAGCGTTAACTGTGTGCACATCGCCCGGCCACGGGTCTCCAGAACTTTCTCACTGCCCCCACAGGACAGCTCCCATCCCCACCCCTGCTGTTTCTGTGGGCCCCTCTCCTGAAACCTCTTCTCAGTGGAAGCCCATAGAATTCCAGGACCCAGAGTTGTCAGCCACGGAAGGATTGGGCCGGGTGGGGGCAGGGAGGCCACCCCAGCCGCGCGCACCCTGAGCTCAGGAGTCTCCCCATTCCTGGTGGGAGGGGCCGTGGCCCGTGGGACCCGGAGCCAAGGGTGGGGGGCTTCTCAGCCGCTCCCGCGAGGCCGCTCACCCTGGGCCTCCGCCGGCAGGTTATTCTCTCTGCAGGTCCCCGTGCCTCCCCAGATTTTCCTGTCCTTGGTGTACAAGCTAGAAGGGGCTTCGAATGTCGGGGTGGCACTGGAGCTCACCACAGGGGATGCGGGCAGCTGCCACATCGGCAGCATCTCGACGTTGAATGGTGAGGGGTTGGGCTCTCCTGCCTCCTGCGGGCACCCTCTGCTTCAGGGACACCTCGGGGAGGAGGGTCTAGAGGGTGCCCCAGGCGGGGGCCCCGGACAGGGACAGTCCCCCGTCAGCTGAAGTCTCTGGGCTGCAGCCCCCACTGGGCAGCACAGTGGGGGGCTGAGGGGCTCCCCACCCTGTTCTCCTGCCCCCAGGGCCTCAGCCTGTTTGGCCACGAGTGCCTGGCACCAGCGGGGAGTCTAGTGGCCCCTGCGGCTCCCCCGGGTGTGGACACCTCCCTGCGTGGGTTCCTTTGGGCTCTCCTCATTCTCAGGTCCTGGGTCTCTTCCCCCGGCAGAGACAAGCTCGAGGCACAGTCCCCGACCCCTCCGGGCGCCCCCCACCAAGCTGGCCCGATGGGTGCACCGCTGCGGCCAGCAGCTCCGTGGGGGCTGGGTCCAGCGGTGAGTCTCCAGCAGGGGATGGCCACATGGGGGGCTCGATTCAGGGGCCCTTGGGTGAGGAGCCCCAGAACTGGGGGGCTGGATGGGCCCTGGCCAACACCCCCACCCCCCACCCCCCAGGATTCAGGAGCCCCGGGAACGAACCCAGGAGGCTGCTGGGAGCAGTCACAGTCCCGCCTTAGGTTCTTCCCACTGGCCACAGGGTTCGCCTTAGGATGGACCTTCCTGCCGTGACTCGGGGCCTCTGAGCCGCCAGCCTTGGTGCTGAGCCGAGGGGGGCTCCCCACGACTGACCCTGCTTGTCCCCCGCAGCTGCTACAAGGTGAACCTGCGCGACTGCCTCCTGCGAGACCTCTTCGTTAGCTTCGCCCGGCCTCCGGGCAGCCGGGAGGAGGAGAGCTTCGTCTGCCGCCTCGGCGAGGTCCAGGTGAGGCTGCGGGCGCCCCGCTGGGGCCCAGCCGAGGTGCCTCCCACCACACGGGAGGCAGATGTGCCTGGAGGGGAGCCGCAGGGGTGCCGGGGGGACTGCAGGGATGCTGCGAGGGGGGCTGCAGGGGTGCCACGGAAGGGGCTGCTGGGGGGCTGTGCAGGGGTGGGCACCCTGAACCCCCTGCACACGTGGGGACCGTGGTGAGCCTTCTCTATCCTGGCAGGTGGTGGATGCCAAGAGCCTACTCGCCCCGCTGCCCCGGGTGCAGGCCGTCACCGTGTCCCACGTGCACTGGCAGCGAGCCACCCCTGAGGAGGAGGGTTCCCCTGCTCGGCTCCGGCTCGGCTGCACCCTGCACTGGTCCTACCTCTTCTCCCCCATCCGATGCTTCCGGATCCACTGCTGCGCGGGGACTGGCGGTGGCGCTCCGGGCGGGGGGCCGTCGGGGCCGGAGCAGCCCGCGCTCCTGGGCCTGGCATTTGTCAACCAGTATCGAATAGTGGACCTGGTGGTGGCGGCCGTGGGGCCCGGCGGGGACGGCCGCGTGGAGTTCCTGGTGGAGCCTGTCCCCAAGGAGGGGTTTCTGGTGCCACGGGCGGAATGGGGCAGGGCGGCCCTGCTCTACTCCATGCCCCGCACGGATGGGGTGTTATGAGCGGAGCGGGCACGAAACCCAGAGGCTCCTGCCTCAAGGCTCCGGCTACTGCGGCACAGCGCAGGAGGCCCCACGCGCAGGAGGCCGGGATTGGGGCTTTGTCGTCGTGGACGTTGATCATAGGAAAACCAAGAAAGTGTGTTTGCCGGGCTGGAAACTTCCTGAGGTTAATGAACTCTTCTAATCCCTGCCTGGAGCTTGGGTTCCAGGTGGGGTGACAGCATTTGGGGAAGCTAGTTCCCCTCAGGTCCACGAAGGGGGTTTCCTAGTAGGCTGCGACGCGTGGGCTCCACCAGCTTAAATGGGACCGGAAGCCTCCGAGCGGGCCCGGGAGACAATTCCCAGGGTGAGGGCTGAGGGCACAGGGTGCCGGGCCTGGTGCCCCGGGGATTGGCCCGCTTCCCCTGTGGACGCGGGGCCCAGGGCCGGGCTGGTGCCAGCTGGCACCTCCCGCAGGCCAGGTGGTGGCCACAGCCCAGACCCCGTGTGGGGCTGTCTGTCCCAGGTTACTGTCCCCATGAGCCGGAGCCACTCGTGGAGCCTTCCCATGGCCCAGTGCCCTCCGGGTCTCTTCCAGGTGGTTGGTGCCCGGCCCGTCCTGGGCCTGGGCCTGGGCCGCGGGAGCCCTGGTGGGGGCCTGCTTGTGGCTCCTCCCAGGGCTGGGGTCCCTGTTTGCGCAGGTGCTTTGACGACCCTCTCCACAGGGCCCCTTCCTCTCTTGCTTCTTGGCCTTCTCGCACCTTCCTCCCCACTGCCTGTGCTGAGGCTGGCGGGAGGCTCTGGGGGGGGGTGGTGAGGGAGCGAGACGGCTCCTCCAGCCGCACAGCCCCCCGTTAACCCCTGGGCCGCCGTGCTGGCCTCCTGGCGGGGGCCGGGGGGGCGCCTCCACTCGCAGCCTGGGGTACCTGCCCAGCTCCTCTCCTGGGCCCAGCCGCATCCCTCGGGCTAGGGGGGGTCCCTTATCCCCGGGCCTCACAGGGCCGTCAGTGGGGGATACTTGCCCAATGCTCTGCCCTCCACCTGCGCTATGCGAGGGGGAGCGGTGCTGAGGGCCAGGGCACCCCAGCTGGGGGTCGCACCAGGGCTGGCCTGTCACCCCGGGTCCGCGGGCTTGGTTGTAGGCTGTAGGGAGGGCAGAGGCCACCAGGCGGCAGTGCGGCGACACCGCCTTCGCGGGTCGTCCGGAATTCGGGATTCAGGATTCAGGATTTGGAGAGGTGTTGGGGTGGCCCGGTGAACGGCAAGGGGAGTGTCATGCCTGTCACGGTGGGACAGGGCACGTGGCCGAGCCAGCTCCATCCGGTGGGGAACGGGTTTGGCCAGCAGCAGGGCGGTAGCTCAGGAGGGTGCCTCTGCTGGCCAGCTGGGACAGACGGGCCACCCACACCCAGGCTGGCCCTGAGGACCTGGACAGCTCAGCAGACCTGGGGGGACCTGAGCCGCTGCCACTTGGAGCTGCTCACGTCGTCGTGCTCTGGCTTTGGACCTTAGGTTTCCCCTGAGCCTTTCCTGCTTGGTAGTTCCAGGGGGGTCAGGGTGGGGGTTCCTGGCCCTTCCCCTCGTGTCCCCAGAGGTGGGGGCCAGCGGGGCCGGGGCCCGGAAGCCAGTGGCTGCTCTTCATTCGTGAAGCCTGTTTGCTTTTTAAAGTGCAGGTTCCCACAAATACCTTATGCAGAGGAGGAGGGAACATTCGTAGGGCAATTATTTTCTTACAGTCTGGCGGGCGGCGGGGAGCAGAGCGCGGTGCGGGGGGGCCACCCAGCCCCACGGAGAGCAGAGGCTCGTGGGCAGCAAAATCCGTGTTGGCGCTTAAGCCCGCGTCCCTGGGGGGGGGTCCTCACTGAAATAAACCACCCGATGTGACACCTGAGGAGTCAAGCTGGCGAGCTGTGTTGCGGACGTGGCGCCTCGGGTTCGGAACCTGGCCCAGCGTCTCCAAACCCGGGGCTTTTAAGCTCTTGACTTCTGCTTTCTGTTCCGTTTTTTTTTTTTTTTTTTTTTAAGATTTTAATTATTTATTAGAGCCAGCTCGAGAAAGAGCAGGAATGGGGAAATGGGGAGGGGAGGGAGAAGCAGGCTCCCCGCAGGGCTCCCGACCTGGGGCTCCATCCCAAGACCCCGGGGTCATGACCTGAGCCCAAGGCCGCTGCTCCACCTCCACCCACGGAGCCCCCCAGGCGCCCCGGACTTCTGCTTTCCCTCCCAGTTCTGCTCCCTCTTCGGGGAGGGGGCTTCCACCGCAGCCTTCTGGGGATGGGAGCCTGCCCCCCCACGGGCTCACCCTGAAGCGGCCCCCCGTGCCCCCCGCAAGGAACGGGGGTCTGCTGATACACATCAGGTCACAGGCCGGGGTGTGATCGGAGCCCCCCCCCCCCCCCGCCGGCCCGGCCGCTGGGCAGCCCACGACGTTGGCCTGGGCCAGGCGCTCTGCACAGGAGCCTCTGCTGGGAGGGGGCCGGGGTGGCCGCTGCCCTGGAATCTGCCCCACCGCGGGGCCCGGCTCACTCTGGCTCTGGGTCCCTCGCCCAGAAGGGTCCCCTGACCCCACCCCCCTACCCTGGCTGTGTCCTGGGACAGGCCGCCCGTCCTGCTCCCCCCCGGCCCCCCCCAGACACGCCGCACACCACCTGCCCCTCCACCCTCCTCCACCCTCCGGGCCGGGAGCTGCCAAATCAAAAAGAGTTGTCCTGGTTTGAAGAAAGAAATCTTTATTAATAATCTTAATAATAATACTGTTGATTTGAATGGTCACACCTTGGAAGCATACAGAATGGTAAGAAAGGAAGCCTGGGGCCTGGCTGCAGTCCTGGGGCCGGGAGGGGGCCGCGGCGGAGCAGCAGGGGCTCGGCCGGCGGGGGGGTCTGTACACGGGAATAGAAAAGGGGCTCATTTCCGGAGCTTCAGGAGCTGATGCTGAATATATAAAGTGAGGTGTAGGGTTTTTTTTTTACTTTTTATTTTTTTTACTTTTTAAGTTTCATGAGACAGTGGAGCCATGTTGGGAGCCTACGTCGGTGGTTTTTTGCTGCTTCCCCTCCTCCAGCTCTCCCTGCCCGGCCGGGCCCCTCCCTGCCGCTCCCTGGCCCTCCCGCCACCCCCTCCGCCACCCCAGGACCCACCGGCGCCGCCGCCGGCCCTGCCCTCCCCGCTCTCCCTGCTGCGCCCGCCCGTCACTGCCAACCTCCCCCTGTGGCCGGGCGCTGGCCCCCCTCCTGGCCCCCCCGCTCCCCTGCAGGCAGAGGTGGGGAGGGCGGCCTCCCTCCCACCGCCCGGGGCCCAGGCCGCCTCCACGGGGCCACAGGAACCCGCCATCGGGGCCTGAGCGCGTTCGGCCCGAGACCCCGCCCTCCCGACGGTCTGGGCTGATCCTGGGCGGCCACCGGCCCCGGAGCCCCTTCCAGAGTTCTGGAACCGCGTCAGCCCTTGGTGTGGGGTCGGCCCCCAGGGCTGCTGCTCAGACTGGCTCCTGCGGCCCGCAACGCCCAGGTTTGCAGAACACTGTGTTGGCGGCATGGCCCGAGGGGGAGCCGGGGGCCCGAGGGTGACGGGCACTGGCCGGAGCCAGGGACCCTGGGAACGGACAGCCGTCCCCCCCACGCCCGGCCCGGCCGTCCCCTCCACTGGCACAGTTGGCAACAAAGGTCAAGTCCTGCTGGCTGCTCTCCCCGCGCAGGCCCGCGGCCTGTTCCTCCGCTGGGCCCCGCGTGCCCTGGGAGTGGGGGCCGGAAGGAAGACTTGGTAGAGACGCGGCCCCTTCCCCTCCTCGCAGGCCGGCGGCGCGGCCCGGGCGCTCTCCTGGGTGGGCGCCCGGCGGGACGTGCTCCCTCGCTGCGGTGTGCGGCGCCACGCGCGACTTGGACGTGGTGGATGCTTCTTGGTTTGGTTGTTTTTTTTTTTTGTTGCTTGGATCTTAACATCTTTTTTTGTTTGGTTTTTTGTTTTGTGATTTTTTTTTTGTTTTTTTTGTTTTTGTTTTTTGTTTTTGCCCTTCATGGTCCAAGAAGGAAACGGTGGAAGCTTTCACTACAACAGAAACAGAAAGGCAGGACTTGCAGTTTCACGGAAGCAACTCCGGGGCGTCGTGAGGACTGACGGGCCCTGGCGAGCGCGCAGGGCAGCGGCTGGGAGGGTGGGAGGGGGCCCAGGGCCCTGACGTCCTAGCGCCTCCCCCCACTGTCCTCCAGGCCCAGCTCTAGGAACCCTTCGTGCGTGACCTCCAGGGCAGAGTGTGGCGGGGAGGGGAGACGTGGGGGCGGCAGGAGCAGACGCAGTGAGGCCCAGGGGAGGGGGGTGCAGGGGAGGAGGGGGGGCAGGGGCGCCCGGCTGCTTTGCGCGGGTCAAGGCGAGGGCAGGGCGGATGGACAGCACCGCACAGGCCGCGAGGGCCCGGATGAGGTGGTGGTGCTCCGGGCGGAGGGGGGCGGGGGCCGGTCCAGCAGCGGGGACCCACGCCCTCCAGCCGCACCCAGAGCCCAGCTCTGGCCCACGAGGGGGCCTGGGCTTCCCCGGCCCGAGACCCTTCCTCCAGGAGCTGCCTGGCTGCCTCGGCAGTACCAGCGGGTCCCAGCGCCGGGGCCCCAAGGCCGCAGAGCACGGCATCCAGCCTGTCTGGGCGGGAGGCTGGCGCCGGGCCGTGGCCCTCCCCCGCTCCTCACCTGCTTGCCCCTTCTGGAATGTACCCCGATAAAAGGATGTTTCCAAGCCCGGGGAGGGGTAAAGGGTGCTGGAGCCAAGTGCAAAGGCGGCCAGGCTGGCCGGGCCCCATCTCGGGCAGTGCTGGGGGGCTATCCTGGGAGCACGGCTGGAGGGACCAGGGGCTGGAGGGACCAGGGGCGGGCTGAGGGCGCCTGGCTGGGGGGGGGGGCGGTGCGGGGTGCCGGGAATTCCTTCCTGCACTGTCATTTCCTACATAGAGGCTAAGTGAGCCCTGAGGCTGCTGTGGCCGTGGTGGGGCCGCCTGTACCATGTGCTTGCGACTGCTTGGGCAGGAAACGTCCTCAACAAACTCGAACCCGAAATGTTAGTCTCAGCTGGATGGGGTGGTGGGGGCGAGGGGGGCGGACAGGCCACTCTCGTCATTAGCTGGGTGACGGGAAGGTCGGGAGGGAGCACTGTCTTGGCCAGAAACCCCACGACGAGCGGACGGGAGCTCCGCCTGACGCCCTAACCCCAGGGAGGGACGGTGGCGCGGGGTGTCTTCGAGGCTGCGCAGCCCCGGGGCCCGGGGGGTCGCGTCGCCCTGGCGGGCTCTATTGCTAGTCGTGGGGAGAGGTGGTGCGCCCGGCCTAGCCCCTCCCCCTGTGCATACCGTACCTGAAACGACTTGGGGGTACAACGTCAACAAAGTCAAAATAGGAAGCAAGGTTTCAGACATACAGGGGGCACCAGGGTCAAAGACACACACGCCATCGTGAGGGGCAGGGAGACCAGCTGGCTGGAGGTAAACCCTACGGGCTTTGGCGTCGCGTGCCGCGGCCTGGGGGGGGCGCACTGTCCTCCTGGTGGCTGTGCCTGGTTTTGGACTGCTGGGTTTGGTGTGTACTGGGCAGTCAGTGTGAATGCTGCTAGGGGCTGGGCCCTCTTGCTAGTAGGGGGTGAAGCGGCTGTACCCTCCTCGGCACAGGCTAGCCTGCAACATCAAAGATGACAAACAGCCAATCAGTACCGCCTTTCGGTAGGGGGGGAAAAAGCAAAAAAGAAAAAAAAATAAGGAAAAACAAAAAGAAATAGCTAAATCCCATTTTTTTGCCCCCCTTAGGAAGGTCTGCCTTGGGGAGAGCGGGCGCCGGTTCTCATGGCAGCGGTGGGGGGGCCCTGGGCCTAGTTCTTCCGTGGTAGGGGCGGCCGGTGGGCGCCAGGGGGCCGCCGGGGTCATCGGCCGCTGCACTCCTAGGTAACAAGGCTGGAGCTGCCTCCCGGCGGCTCTCTTGGCTCAGGCCTGGCCCTTCCTGGCCCTTGCTCCTTCGTGGGGGCCGGGAGGAGGCCTGGGGGGAGAGCCCCACCTCTCGGCGCCCGGCACTGCCTGCCCTGGGGCAGGACTCAGGAGGGTGGAGGGACCCTCGTCAGGGTTCCCTGGGCCTCGGCCCCACCAGGACGGGCTGTGCCGGCCCGCCCAGCTCCTCGGAGCTGTAGGGGGTTTCCTGGGGTCCCTGCTCTTCCCCCAGGTGCTCGCCTGGGCCCTCCGTCCTGCCGACGAGGACAGGCCTTGGGTGCTCTTGCTCCCGTGTCCCTGGGCCGCCCTGGATCAGGGAGGTCTCCAGGGGAGCCTCCTCCCCACCAACCGGTTTCAAGAGAAAAAGGAAGATGGTGAGTGCCAGAGGAAAAACTTGGGGGAAAATGCAGAAAATCCTACAAATAAAAATGAGAACACAAGAGGGGCCTCTGTGAATGAGTGAAAGCTTTTAGCCAGCAGCTGCACAGAGGGCCGCGCTGACCCCGGAGCCGAGGGGCCCGCTCCCCGGCCCCGCTCCCTGGGGCTGCCGGCAGTCACCGCGGGCTGCTTGCCATGCCACAAACGTGTTAAAAATCAAAAAAGACAAAACAAAAATTGGGAGGGAGTAATCAAAACCAAGGAGGTGGAACAAGGAGTCCGTGTTGGCTCTGACCGTCCTCCCTCCTCACACCCCGGGAAAATGTGTTCATCTTTGATGCTGGACGCCAAGCTAGCTAAAACCCGACATTAACAGCCCCTGGGGCGGGGGGGTCACAGAGGCAGGGGGTCCCCTGGAAGCGGGTTTCGGGGTACAGAGTGAGCTGGGCTGCATGTGTCGACAGCTGGCCATACACACACACACACACAGACACACCGGCTGCCGCGGGCCCACAGGGCGTGCGCAGGGGCTGGGGAGAGCCGGCCCCGGGGCCACAGAGGGGTCTGGGTGGGGGCCCGTGGGCAGCCCTGGCCCCTGGCCTTGATGCGAGGAAAAGTGCGAGGGAGCGACAGGACACAGAGGGACGGCGGCGGACACCCCCCCCACGCGCGGCGCGGTGGCCCTGCTGGCTTCTGGAGCCTTAGAAAACTGGGCAAAGCGGGCATGCTAGGGTCTCCCCAGAGGGCCAGGCGTCCTTCCCGGGCGGCCGACCGTCCCGGCGCACCTGCTCCCTCAAGGTCCCCGAGGGTGCCAAGGGGCAAGTCCTCCCGCAAACTCCCATCTCGGCCTTGGTCCTTCCGGGCACTGCTCAGAGGTCTGGGTCCCTGTCCTGGGGGCCTGCCCACCCCCTCCTGGCTGCGGCGCCAGGCCCTCCTCGTCACGCTGGCACCACGGGCCGGGCCGCCCCCGCCCCCTTACCATGGTTCCGATGCTGTAGGTCGCCGCGGGGCCGATGGTGTGGTGGTAGGGGTCAGCGGCTGCATAGACTCTGCCGTAACTGCGGAGACAACATGGGGAAGGCCGGAGGCGTGGGGGCTATGCGGGCAGGTGGGGGGCGGCAACGGGTCTCCCACCTCCTCCCAGACATTTCGGGAGCGCCCTCCAGTGTGGTCCCACCTGCGAGCCACCCCCACCTCTGCCCGCCTTCGCGCCCTCCTTCCTGCCTGGGCAGAAGGAAGTGTCCAGAACACGGCTGACCACCCTCCCAATTCCTCCAGTGTGGGCCGACCCGAGCGAGGGGCCAGAAGAACCCCGATCCCCAGGAAGATCAGGGCAAGGTGGTGCAGAAAGGCTCCGAGCAGGACGAGCGGGAGTGGGGGGCGGGCAGGGAGGTCACCGCTAAGGAAGTGGCGCTGCGTCCCCTCCATGACCTTCCTCTTAAGTTATTTTGTGTGTGAAGTCCCAGCCTCTTGGAGGACAGGGCTGGGCGGAAGGGTGTGCTGTACACCTGCCCCCCCACCCCCGACACGAGATGCAGCCAGAAGCTTTGGAAGGTGGGGGTCGGCAGGTGCCCCTGGGCGGGAGGAAGAGGCGGCCCTCGGGCACCGGGACGTCTGCGCTTCCCTCAGCGAAGCCCAGTGGCCCTGAGGCCAAGTGCCCGTGTGCCAGGCTTGGCCACCCCTGGACCTGCCCTCGGGACAAAGAGCCACCCCCCAGCCTCTGGGTGTGCTGGCAGCCGGCCACGCTGCCACCTGGAGTCCTCACACCCCTGGGGGAGGGCACGGGGCCTTTCCTTCTCAGAGCTGAAGGGTCTCAGACCTGGAAGCCCTGAGCGGGGGTCAGAGGCGTGGCCGGGGCAGAAGCAGAGCCTCCTCGTTACCCTGCTCCCCGGAGGCCTCCAGAGCTCAGGGAGGGGAGGGGTCAGGGCTCAGGGGCTGGGAATTGGAGGACCCCCACCCCTGTTGTGCCAGCAGGAAGTCAGGGGCTCACTGGCTCAGGAGTCTCGGACCTGCTCCCCTCTGTCCAGACCCTGTACCCCAGGGGGAGGCTCCCCCCTGGCCTGAGCCCACCCCTGCAGGGACCCTGCTGCCCTACTGCCGTCTTCACCCGACTGCTGTCCCAGCCATACCTGTCGCTGTAGGCTGCTGCTGCCGCCGCAGGCTGAGCATATCTGTAGGCTGCATAGCCCCCCTGCGGGGTAAGAGCGGGGAGAGACAGCACAGGGGCTTAGTGGGGGCGGGTACAGCCTTGGGCAGGTGCGGACTAGCCGGTACAGGCCTGGGGGCACCCAGCTTTGGGTGTAATGGAGGGCTCAGGACTGCAGACTCCCCAGGGGCATGGTGTCGGGTGAGGCAGGGATCAGGTACCTAATAGACGTCCGGTTGTGTCTGTGGCTTTGGCACATGCTAAGGGCCCAAAGACCTGCCCCAGCCCAGTGAGCCCAACTTTGACGTCAGTGGACGTGGAAAACCCAGGAGTGACTCCGGGCCATCAGGGACCCTGGGCAGGGTCAAGAGCAAACCGAGATGGCGTCTTGGCGCCGGTGCAAAGGGACTGTCAAATTATGAGCAACTGCCCAGGATGAAAGCAGGGTCTCCCGTTGGGCTGGGTGCGTGTGCATGTGCGTGCGTGTGCATGTGTGTGTGTGTGTGTGGGGGGTTGTCAGTTGCGGCTCTGTGGCAGCCCCATGAAGGGCCAGAGAAGCCACAGGACCCCACCAAGGAGTCCGCCCTGGAGCCCCTGCCTCCTGGTCTCTCTCTGGGCCTCCGTATCAATGGGGTGCCCATGGGGGCTCACTCAGCGCCCCCAATGTGGTTAAGGATACGGGAGAGTCGCCCTCGCCCCCCGTCACCCAGCGTCCTGTGGATGCGAGAAGACGTGGGCACAGACCACCCAGGCGCAGCTGTGCCCAGGTTCCTGGGGACCAATGCCCTGGGCATCCTTCCCCACCCTGGTTCCAAGCACAGGGCGGGATGGGTGGGGGCCAGGGGCTGGGGGCGGGGAGGTGAAGACCCTGGAATTCGGCTGAAGGCCGGGCCCCCCACCCCCGCTCCCGCCTGGGGCTGCACTTACATAAATCTCAGCACCATAAAAGCCATCCTGATACACGACCCTGGAAGCAAACGGACAAGAGAGTGGTGGGAACGCTGGAGAGGTGGGGTAGGCCGGCTCCGGTGTCTGCTGAGGAGGGAGGGGGCAGGGTGCCAGCCCTGCCCATGGGACTGGCATTTTAACAAGCGTTTGCTCCAGTGCCCTGTTTTGGTATAACAATAGAGTAACACCCTTGCTGGTCAGCTCCTTTCTCCCACAAAGCCAGGGGCCCCTCGGCCCATGCTGCTTACCCTCCCCCCACCCAGCCCAGGCAGCTGTCCCCCGAGGGGCGGAGGGCACTGGGCCCGGGAAGGACCAGGGAGGGCTCAGCAGGCCCCCACTGCGCGCGTGGCCAGCCACCAGCCCGTGCAATCATCCAGCCAGGTGCTGGGGCTCTGAGTGTCCCCCAAATGCCAGTGACCCTCGGTTCCCATGGCAGGGTGGGGTTGGGGTGCCAATATGGAGCACCCGCAGCGCAAAGATCAGGGTGGCCCCGGCGCCCCCACCCCCCGCCGTTCCGGAAAGGCTGCCCAAGGCCTCCCTCCCCCCACCCCCTGGGCCGCTCTCCACACCTCCCTCCCGGTGCCTCCCTCCCCAGGTGCCTCCCCAGGTACTCACGCTCCATAAGTTGGGATGGGGGGCGGGGGTGGCGCAGCCCGAAACGTGTTATACACGGCCCGGCCCCGACCCCGTAGGTGCGCGCCCCGGTAGGCAACGGCTGTGCCCGTGGTGGGGTAGGGGAACCCCGTCACTGCGGGAAAGGGGGCAGAGGAGAGGCGGTGAGAGGGCAGCCGGCCCGGCCCGCCCACACCTGTCCAGCCCCGCGCCGGGCCGTCCCTGGCCCTCCACCCCGCCGGGACGCTCCAGCCTGTACCTGCATAGAATTCAGGCCCATAGACCGCGCCTACCACGGGATTTAGCTTCCAGCCTAGAAAAGAAGCAAAAAAGCCCCAATCACCGTCTTCCCCATCCTCCCCCGACCTGCTCGCACTAGCCTGGGATTCCCCCCACGGGGGGGCCTCTGCAGCCTGCTGGCCCGACCCCCTCCCTCCGCAGCCAGGCTGGGTACTGGAGACCTGCAGCCAGGTCTTGGCATGCTGTGGTCTCTCTAAATAACGGGGACCAGGTTGCTCCGACCCCTCTGCCCAGGGCGTCTTTGGGATTCTTTTCAAACTGGGGCCCTCCCCGGCCTGCCTCTGGGCCTGCCCAACCCCGGGCACCAGCCCAGCAGCTGGGAGTCTGCAGTCTCTGCAGGAATTAGGAACTCTGGTGGGGTGGGCTGCCTGCCAGGAGGGGCCGAGGCTGCCCTGAGGGGCTGGACTTGTGCCGCAGCCTCCTCCCACCTCCTGCCCCAAAGCCTCTGTCTGGGGTGGAGCCCCTTCCCCACTGCCCAGTCCTGCCCGGGCTGCCCCCAGAGCAGCCAGGGAGCGGCTCCCTGGGGAGGAAATGGCCTTAGGACTCCAGGTAATAGGACAACTAACCCTTCCTGGGCACGTCCCCATGTGCCACACTGTTCTAAACCCACCCAATGGGATGGGAGTCACACCCTCCGGTTTTACAGACGAGCAAGTGGAGGCTCGGAGGAGCAGCAGCCTCACATCCCAGAGCTGGAAATGGCAGACCCGGATGCCCACAGCCACATTCCAGGCCATTCCCTGGCCCCCAGCTGTCAGGGGCGCCGCCTCTCCCTCTGCAGGTGGGCCGGCTCAGGACCCCCCTGCCCCCCCTGCTCAGGACCCCCAGCTCAGGACCCCCGGCTACGGGGCTGGGCTTCCTCTCCCAGCAGGGACCCAGGTGCAGGAGCGAAGCCTGCTTCCACCTGAGGCCCCCGGGGGTGGACACGGGCTGGCTGGGAGCACACTCTGGCTCCAGGCACTGGCGCAGAGATCGTGGGCTGGTGGGGGGGGTGTATCGGACCCAGCCCTGGCCCTCTCCGTGCACCTGCTCTTACGTTTGCAGTACGCCCTGACGACCCAGCTCCATACCCCTCTTGACCCTGTGTAGTGGGTGCAAAAGGGACTGAGCCCACTGGCCGGCTAGCCAGACAGCCCCGGAGAGCAGGGCGAAGGGCGAGACCAGGCCATCAGTGTCGGCCTCCACCTGTGAGCCTCATGCCCAGATTCTAACATCCCCCTGCTGGGCGGGTGGCTGGACCTGGGTCCTCCTGGGGGCCCATTCTCCACACTTTCCATGAGACCGTGGGCTGCCTTCCCTTCCGGGTCCACCATCACCGGACCCGCGTGCATGTCTGTCTGAACATTTGCTGCTGAGACTCTGGAATCTTCTCTAAATCCCAGCCCAGAGGCAAGAAACATCCCAAGAATGGAGTCTTCTTAGTAAAAACCCATGACGGAGCAGAGTCCTGGAGCCAGTGACCCGAGTCCACCTCCCTGGGGCTCTGATCCAGTGGCTTCTCCTCTGGGTCCGTTCTTGGAGGCGGAACTTCCCTTGAGATGGTCCCTGACACTTCCACTTGCCAACTCTGGGGTCCCGGGTGTCTTTATCGGTCACCCTGGCTCTCTGGCGCCGCCGAGCCCATTTCACTGCGTGGGGCCCCAGATGGTGGAGGCAGCCGGAGACCCCCCTGGGTGGCTCCTTTGTTTCTGCCGTAACGAGTGTCAGGCCTGGAGAGTGTGTTCCCATAGTGGACACTTCTCCCCTCTCCCCCCACAACCGATGAACCTCTGAGTGTTCTGGAGTGTTGGTTCAAGCGAGTCGAGCCACGCTCCCGGGCCTCCAGAGCCCGCTGCGCTTCACCGTCAACCCACAGGGAACCCACTGTGGCCCCCGTCCTCGCTCGGGCCAGTGAGGACGCTTCCGTGACACTGTCGCCGTGAGCACTTCGCCATTCCTTCTTGTGCGACCAGGGCTGGTTCTGTGCCCGTCCTGTGACTATGTCCGTAGTCCGTGGACCGACTCCGCTGTCAGCGTCATGCTTCCTGACATTCGCAGGCTCTGCCCCGAGGGCAGGGGGTGTGGCTCTTGGGTGAAAGTGGGCATCTGGCTCCCGATGATCATCCTGACCCCCAAACACATCCTGATCTCTAAACACTCGTCCTTCCCGTGCCAAGCACTCAAGGTGAGCTCAGGACGCTGGCAAAGCCAGGAGCCCCCAGATTTTTAGGAAAAATTTGAGCAGAAAAGCAGGATGGGAGCCCTACTAATCTAAACATGGCTCAGCCAGACCCCTGTCCTGCTCCAGGAGGACACGTGCGAGGCCATGCTAGGGGGTCACGTGGCAGGTCCCCCAGTGTCCTGCCCCCTTGCTGGCTGGGCACCGGAGTCCATGTGTGGCCAATCACATGGGGACAGGCGGGCTGGGGGGTGGCTCGGTCACTTTGCCCTACTCGGGGTGAGGAGCCCAGCCCCCGCCCCCCTGGGTGACTCATCCTGCGAGCGGGGCTGCCAATCCCAAGCACGGGGACAGACTCAAACGGGCCCCAGTGTGCTGCCGAGATGCTCAAACCAGTGTGCATGGCCGGGCGCAGCACCCCTCCACCCCACTCCTGGGGTTCTGTCCCCAAGGAGGACTGGCTGCTTCCGCTTGGGGACCGGCGTGCACACGCCCGAGACCACTCAGGTGAGGCACATCGTGCCCCCCAAGGCTCACCGTGACCGAGGCGGGGGTCGGGGGCTATTCTTATCATCTTCACGTCTGCTAGATACTGAGGACCTCCAGCCCAGGCCCTCCCTCACTGCTTGGAAAAGAAGGAACGCTCAGGAACGGCCACAGCCGCTGTTTCTGGGTGCCCCGGGTGCTTGGGAAGGCCCAGGCATCTTGCCAGCCATGTGGGCCGGGTGGGCGGCCCCAGCTCTCCTCCTGCCTTGGCCAACCCACCCCCTGTGGACCTGGGAGGTGAGGGTCACTTAGCATCAGGGAGGTGGGCCTCCAGCAGCTGAGGCTCCTGCAGGGCCTGTGTCTGGGTGGGCAGCCCCTGCAGCCTCCCCGAGGTCCTGAGCCCCTTACCGTTACTGTAGGGGTTCGCCGTCTTCTTGTTGGTCATGACGCGGGCTGTGGCGTTATTGACCTGCCCAGGGAGAAGGGGGAGAAGGTGAGGGTGAGGGGCGCGTGGGCCTCCTTGCAGGCCTCTGGCCGCCCCGGTCCTGTCCTGCACTGCTCCTGTGTGCCCCCTGAGGGGGCTGGGGGCTGGGGGCTGGCAGGGAGGCCCGGACAGCCTCTGCGCCAGCCTGGCCCCCCACCCTGGCCCGCCCTCTCCAGCCTTGGCTGCCACTGCTCCCAGCCCTTGGCTCAGGCACCACGCCCGGCCCGCGGGCTCTTGCCCTTCGCATGCTGTTCCCACAAACCAGGCCCCGGTGTCTCTCTGGCCACCCGAGGCCACTGGAGAAGCTGGCTGGTGGACTCTCCCCAAAATGCTCTCAGCCCAACTGGCAGACCGGCCCCCAAGACATTCTGTGCCCTTGAGGGGTGCTGAGGCCTTCCTTGTCATGGGCACCCCTCCATGGGCAGAGTTCCTGATGGAATCCCTTGGGGACAAGGCCCATGCAAGAGGGGGCGCCAAGGGGGTGGTCCTATCTCCCTGGAGGGCCCGACTGGGGTGCAGAAAGGAGGGGGGAGGCCTCTGTGGAAGGAAGTAGAGACCAGTGCAGGAGGGGAGGGAATCTCTGCCACGTCCAGTGCGAGCCCCGGGCCTCGGGCTGCATCCTCAGAGCCTGGCCGGGGTCGCGCCTCCAGTACCCCTTCCGCTTCCGGAAGCCCTCCCCCCAGGCCTTCCCACGTCCCTTCCCCTGGACTCTGCGCTGGCTGCTGACTCTCCCCCGGCCCCCCTGTCCTGCGTGTCCAGGAGCCCGGCTCCCAGACACCTGAAGCCACAGCACTGGGGAGGGGAGGGGCGATGGGCCGCCCACCAGAGAAGGGGCAAGGGGGCCGCTGAGGGGGGGCCCTGGCCTCCTGTCTCTGCTGCTCCTCTGGGCCGGGTCCCTTCCTGGCAGCGGGGGGTCCTCGGAGGGAGGGGTCGGGGACCTAACAGCCCCGTGAGGGCACATGGAGCTGACTGCCGTCCTTGGAGCTGCCAGGCCTCAAACACATGATTTTTGGGGCTCCTCCCAGGGTCCGGCTGGTTCCCGCAGTTGGGGTCCCCCCCTCCAGAAAGCAGAGGGAGCGGGCCCGAAGCCTGGGCCCAGGAGATGGGCCGGGCTCTGGCCTGGGCCCCTCCGCAGGTGTGGCCGCGGGGCGGGATGGGGCGGGGGGCCCTGGGGACAGCGGCCGCTCTCACGGGCACGCCCTGCGCAGCACACTTATCTGAGCACCTCAATTTTCCGTCCCTCTACGATCGTCCCATTCAGCTTCTCCCGGGCTCGGTCAGCATCTGAGCTAGTTTCAAAAGTTACAAACCCAAAACCCTGTGAGCGGAGAAGGACAGACACGGAGAGAAAGGATGAGAGGAAGGAAAACATAGGAGGCGCGGGGTGGGGGACAGGGCAGCGGGGAGGGGAGAGGGGGGAGGGAGGGAGAGAGAGAGAGAGAGAGAGGGACTGAGTCAGGTGAGTTGAAGGAGAGGTCGGCAGCCCAGAGGTCTGCCCTGGTGCCACGGCAGGATGCCCCGGGGAGGGTGCGGCCCCGGGGGGGGGGTTGGCTGCTGGCCCGGGCCCGGCCTCAGCTGACCGCCGGCACCTCCACCTCCGAGAGGACAGGCCAGAGCCACGAGAGATGCTCGCTCGGCCGGCCGGGGCCAGGCCCGTCACCCTGCTGCCACCTGGGGGGCGAGGCAGGGGGCTTTCAGGACCTCCGGGGGCAGCCCCACCCCCTCCCCCTCAGAGCCTGCGTGGGTGGGGGTCTTCCCTTGCCTGGGCAGGGAGCAGGGCTGGTCTTCGCCGGGCCCCCTCCCGCTGCCCACCCTGCAGCCGCGCCCCCGAGCCTCCGGTCCAGCTGGCGGGCAGGCCGGCGGTCCCCCTGGAGGGGCGGCGGGCTGGGGGGGCCCCGGGCCGGCGGGGGGGTGCCCAGGGCTCTGGGCGCAGACAGAGAGGTCCCGACAGCTCCGGGAGAGAGAGAAGCGCGGCAGCTGCGGCAGCAACACAGACGGCAGGGGCGGGGCGGGGAGGGGGAGGTGCGGGGAGTACAAGCACCCGTGTAGCTCAGGGGTCCTCGGGCGCGAAGCTCTCCAGGAAGGAAACGCACATTTCACACGTTAGCCTGGCGGGACCTACAGCCGGCGCTGTAATGGTGGCGGCCTCTGGGCGGCACCCACCTTGGAGCCCCGCTCGTTAAAAATGATCTCCACGTCTAAAATTTTTCCGAATTGCTGCAGAGACAGAGGGGGGGTGGGGGGACAGGGGAGGGTGGGTTAAGACTGCCGCCCCCCGACCTGCCCGACCTGTTCCCCGGGGACGCTCACCTGCCGCCAGGTGTGGCCCTCTGCCCTGCCCCAGCCAGCCTCCTGCAGGGAAGAGGCGGGCTCTCGGGGTAGCCTGCTGGGGGGACCCGAGGGCTTTCCCCGTCCAAGGGCCCCATGCAGGCACTGGTGATGGGGAAGGGCAGCCTCCCCAGAGTCCCTCTCCTCTCCCTGCCTGGGCTCTGCCCCAGGTCGCAGACAGCCACCTCTAACTCACACTGAAGGGTAGAGGGCTCTGGGTAGGCCCTTCCCAAACGAGGGGGGCAGGAGCCCCTGGAAGAGACGAGGGGCCATCGAGGGACCCCGTACTGCAAGCAGCCTGTGCTGTTGGGGCTGGGCCGTGTGGGGTGCGGGGCAGCATTGACCCCAAGCCCTGTACCCAACAAGGACACACTGGCCAGGCAGGCGCAGGTGCTGCGGCTGGTCCCTCCTGCCCCGTCACTGGCCCAGGGTCCCAAGGGCAGCCCTGGCTCTGAGACCGTGAACCTGTGACACCAAATTCCCGGAACGCGGTCCCAAGGGACCTGCCCCAAGGGCTCCAGTGTGTGGAACTGGTGTCCCCTGCACCCCACAACCACGAGCTGGTGGAGCCGTGATGCGATGTGGAACAAGATAGCAATGCAGTCCCAACTCTGACAGGGGCCTGGTGCAGGGACGGGGTGGGACGGGGCGAGCTGACACCCTGGTGCGGGGACGGGGTGAGCTGATGCCCGAGCGGGGACGGGGTGAGGTCAGGTGAGCTCTGTAAGGCAGCTGCTTTAAGGGCAGGCCCCAGGCTCAGAGGTTGGCAGCAGCCAAGAGGAGCCGGATCCTGATGATTCCAGATGCCATCAGCACCTCGCTGTGTCAACGCCCCAAATGCAATGGGGCTTCCAAGAATGGGGGTGGGTATCTGGGGCAAGATATGGGTGCTGGCTGCACCCCACGGCCATCCTCAGGGCACCTGCCCTCTGCACAGTGCGTCAGGGGCCAGAGCCTGCCCAGCTGTGGCAGGGGTGGGGTGGGGCGGGCACAGTGCTGGCAGCGGGCAAGGGGCTGCAGGGTAGTAACCCAGGGGGCCCTGGCCTCAGCCCCGCAGGGCCCTAAGCAGCCCCGGCTCCTCCCAGGCCTTGGGCCCTCCCTCCTCCCTCCCACCCCGCAGGCCTCCGGCAGCGCAGGGCTGGCCCCAGCAGGCAGTGGGATGTGTGTGGGGGCTTGGGGTTAGGGGTGGGCGGGTGGGAGCCGGGATGGAGGGGCCGCACACACTCACCCCGAACATTTGCCGCAGGTCGGGGTCCCTGAACCGGAAGGGGATGTTGGAGACGTGTAGCCGCTTGGGCTGCTGCTTCTCTGTGGGGTCGGAGGGGTGGAGCGGCTGGCTGTCTGTCTGTGCCGCCTCGTCTGTCTGCTGCGGGGAGAGGCCGGGCTGTGAGGTGCCCCTCTGGGCTCCCATCCCGCGGGGAGGGGAGCACCTGACGGCCAGACCCCCCGACTCCCTGGGCCTCCCCCTCCCGGGGCTGGGTCCCGGAGACGGATTCTCATGGGAGGCCCCCTGCCGCTCAGCACCCGCGGGGTGACTCTTCCAGGGCACGGGGTGGCCAGGTGCAGCCGGCCAGTGCCCTTCCTCATCTGGGGCCCCAACGTTGGGGAGCGGAGGGGTTCCGGCAGACTTGGGGCGCAGGAAACGAAGATGAGGTGAGGACCCCTGACCCACGGCCCCCTGCGAGGATGAGGCCAGGATGGGCGCTGAGGTGACAAGCCTGCGAGGCTCCTCTGGGGGCACCCGTTCTGTCCCTGCTGAGCCTCAGCGCCGAAGGCACGCGGCGGGTGCTCTGTGAACGTGGGCCTGGTGACCAAGGTGGCCTCTCAGCTAAGACCACGGTGACACCCCGGCCCTGTGCACCACCATCCCCGAGGGTTATCCCGGCCCGGCTCACTGGCGGGTCGCAGCGGGAGTGTCCGGGAGCCGCCCTCCACCGGTGACCAACACGCTGGGTGCGCAGGCGGCCTGGCACCCACCCCTGTGGCTCCTCCGGGTGGGGGACGCCCTCCTGATGGGGACGACAGGCCGTGAACGTGCCTTTCGCTGCTCCTCGCTCTCCTGCCTCAATCCCCGCTCTTCGCTCAGGGTTCTCTCTTGGGACCGTGGCTGGAGGCATGAGGGGTGCCCTCACTCCAGTGCGGCCCACCCTGAGCTTTTCTGACGTGTCTGGAGAGAGTGGAGGCGGGAGGGTCCCCCGAGGCCCACGCTGAGGTTTGTACAAGCGGAAGTGCTGGTGGCCGTGGCCTCCCACGTGGCCTGAGGGCACAGGCCGCTGACCGGCAGTGACGGGCCGGCACCGGAGAGCCGCCCGGAGACCCCTCCCAGGGGTCTCCAAGAACCGTCCGTTTGCTGAAGCCGCTTTCCGGGGCATTTCCCTGGGTCCAGCAGAGGCGCGCTGACAGGTGCAACGGGCGTCCCGGAGTTAGGGCCGGCGGGCAGGGTGAGGCCACTGGGCCCGAGGCCTCCTCCGGGCAGGGGAAACGGAGCCCAAGGGGCACAGGCTGCCCAGGTCGCTGCGAGCTGTGGCCCGTCTGTGGACTCCTGAGTGGCAGCCCTCAGTGGCCAACCCGTTCGTCGTCTCTGGGAGGAGGGGCCGCTCCCCTACCACTGAGCTCGGCCCGGGGGCCTCTGACCAGGCTCCGGGGCAGCAGGTGCCACAGGGGAGGGGGGCGGTTGTCCCCAGCTCCTGGGCTGCCGACAGCGGCGAGGACACGCCGGGCGGTGAGCTGGAGCACCTGCTCAGAGTCCCTCACAGTCGGGTCTGCGCTCCTGTGTTAAGAGGCAGCAAAGGTGCGCGATCCCAAGTGTGGTCGGAAGCCACCGTCCTCTTGTTCTCCTGGGGACGTGCGTGACCCGTGTCAGCGGGGTGGCCATCCCATGAGCGGTGGGCCCAGTTCTGACGAGTGTGTGCGCCCGGAGCCCTTCTGTCCGGCTGCCGAGGGACGTGTGTCCAAGGCTGGGGCTGGACGTCACCAAGCAGCCCAGGAGCCAGGCTGCTGCAGCCTCCGTGGCGGAGCCGCCGGCGGGTGCAGGTGGGAGGGTGGCAGGTCTGTGGGGGCAACACCGGGCAGCTGCCTTCGGGAGCCTCAGGGACACCTGGGGGCTCCTCCGGCTCGGCCGGGCAGCTGCCAATGCCCAACGGCCCAGCCTGCTCCGCGTCCTCCTCGCGTGGTCCTGCTCTTCTGCGCGGACCTCCAGAGGCTCGTCCTTGCCCCGAAATCGAAGCACAACCCGCCGCACATCCGCTGACTCCCCTGCCCTCTGGTTACAACAAAGTCTGGCTCTTCCCGTGCGGCAGTCAGGGTGGGCCCAGGGCCCTCGGTCACACACCCGAGCCCCCCATGGCTCCTGGATACAGGTGAATTTGGGACTTCCGCCGGAGAGGGGCACGTAATGCTGGCTGCGGACCGGCAGGGAGCAGGGGTCAGCTCGGCCAGCTGCACCCAGAGTGGCGGGGGGCCCCGGGCCTGGGGGGGCCACAGGAGGGTGCTACCCAGGCAAGGCGTCTGGGGCCCGCCCAGGCTGCCCCACACCCACTGTCAGTCTCCACGGTCCAGCCCCCCTCACAACACCCCACCCAGAGGCCTTGAAGGGGAGCCAGCTGAGGGCAAGGAAGGGGAATGGGGTGTTGGGGGTCTGGTGCGATGAGTCTCGAGTGGGGCCAGGACTCAAGCAAGGAAGAAGCCCCCTCGGCCACCCCCACACAGCTCCAGACAGAGGCAGACGGACAGGTTGGGTGACTGAAATCCTAAGATGCATGTCACCTTAGCCATCAGACCCTACTCACCCCCGGCCCCCCACAATCAGAGGGGCCCGCAGCCCCTGCACCTGGGCCTCCCCAAACTCAGTCGGCACAGGGGGAGGCCACGAGAGCCCTGGGCAGGGGCCGGTGGGCCCGGGCGGGGGGCGGGGGGCTCGGGCATCAGGCCAGGACAGCCTCGTCCCTGCATGGAGCCCATCACCGAGGCTTGCTGAGGCGACACGAGAGGAAGCCACGCCAAGTGTTTCCCTGCCGCCCCTCAGCCCTGCCGCCCGGGGGCTCCTGGGCGCTCATGTAAGGAGGCTCTCGGCCCTGTGGGGGGGGGGGCTGGGAGGGGCCCTCCCACCTTAGCCTCCAGCTGTCTGTCCGAGACGTCATCTTTGTCCTAACGGGCAGCCCCCTCCTTGGGCAGAGACTCTGGAGGACAGCATACTCTAAGAGCGCCCTGCCGGCCACACAGCTGTGGCACTGAGCTGCCCGGGGTGGGGGGGGCACCGTCGGCTGGCAGCTGCCCGGGGCGTGGTGGCTGCACACAGCTGGGTCTCACCCGGGGAGGTGGCGGGGGGGGGTCTGGGGTGGGCAGGACACATCTGCCTTGGCACCTGGCACTCTGGCCACAGCTCCTGGTGTTGTGGCACCTGCCAGCTGGGGAGGGCAGGGGCCCCCAGGACAGGCCCTGTGAGGGTCACTGCAGAGGAAGATGGGGAGGGTGGGGGGTAGTTTGTGAGTGACAGTCCCCCCCGGGCGGTCCCAGGATTCAGGGACACCTGCAGGGGTCCCTCGTGCCCTTGAGTGAATGAGCACCCTGAGGAGGTGGCCCCCAGCCGTATCCCTGGGGTCCCTGCAGAGCAGTGGGGTGCACCCCGATCCGTCAGCAGCCCCATAGGCTTGGCACCCCATGCCGCGGTGACAAACGGAATCCACGCGCGGGAGAGACCAGGTCTGGGCAGAAGGCGCAGTCCACGGCCCCCGCTGCCCTGTACCTCTGCATCTGAACCCCAGGCTGCCTGGGGGCGGGGGGTGCGGCGAGAGGAGGCTTCGGTGAGCTGAGGAGCCTCCACACAAGGACGGGGCCCTTCAGGCTTTAGCTGCGAGCGCGGGGCAGCTCCTCTGGGAGGACGGTGGCTCCTGGGATCTCAGAGCAGGATGGGGTGCCCCCCGCCCCCTCCAGCTCCTCCCGAGGTGGGAAGTTCCGCACAAGTACTTCAGGCTCTGAGCGCACGTGCCGTCCAGCGGCAGGTCCTCTGTCCCTCCGGCGACCTCACCCGCAGGGCTCATCGGGGCCCAGGCACGGCCAGGAACGGTCGCTCCTCCGTAACCCGGATGGCAGATCTACAGACCCTGCCCCTCTCGCGGGACCCGTAGACACCAGGGCCGGAAACTGGAAGGTCAGGGTGCCCATTACGCCCTCGGGCCCAGGGACCCTCCTGGGGAGTCCCGTGGCCAGAGAAGTGAGATGTTCGCTGCTCAGTTGGGATGAATCGTTTCTGACCCCTCCGGGGTCACAGGATGGGGGCCATGACTTTCATGTCCTCGACTGGCACCGGGAACTGGTGGCCGCCTCAAGGCAGGGCCGGTCACTTCTCCCCTGTGCCCCCGATGCTGTTCAGTGCGCGGCGCACAGGGCGTTCCCCCAACTGTCCTCTGGGTGAAGATGACATGACCCCATGCTCTTCCCGGTTTGGTGGCCTCTGGGGACCAGGTGTCAAGGAGGCCTCCTGGCTGGTTTCTGTGCTGAAGGTGTCCGCGATCGGGCCCCCAGCTCCGCGGCACCTGCCGGTCTGACCACCTTATCTCCCGCGTTCGCTTCTGGGGCGAATTTCTATGCCTCGTGGTCCCATCATGGGTGGTCTGGCCAGATGCACCCCATATGCAGAGCCCGTCAGAAGGAGTCTGTCCCCCAGCTGGGACTCCCCACGATGGGCCCCCTCTGGCTCTGGTCTGAGCGCACCCAGTCGGGGCGGGGGGACTTGAGGAATCAGAAGCCCAAGCAGAGCGGCCCCCAGAGGTACCGTTTGGCTCCTGGTTCTATGACCCTCAGGCCTCGCCTTTCCCACCGCAGGAGCCCGGGTGAGGGTTTGCGGGAGACACCGGACATGGACGTGCAGAGTGCACGGGTGGGACTCAGGCCGCAGCCCTCCACGCGGGGGGAGGGGCTGCAGACGAGGGTCCCGTCTCTCCCCAGACAGCCTGGGCGCTGCCGTCCACACAGGGGCGGTGGGCGGTATCTGGGCCCACGCAGCACCCCGGGGAGCCTAGGCTGCAACAGGGCGAGGGTGGGGGGAGCGCCCGCCGGGAGGCTGCCAGAGTGGGGCCACTTCTGGGCGGCACAGGGCGTGCTGGCCTCCTGCCCGGGCCCCGCCGGCCAGCGCTGGGGGGTGGGGGGCAGCCAGCAGGACGGACAGCGGCTGAACCCAAAGCCCCACAGCCGGGGAGGGGCGGCGCGTGGAGAAGGCGACTGGGGCCGGGGCCAGGGAAGGAGCGGCGCGGGCTGGGTTCTGTCTGGCTCCCAGGGGCTGCCCGCGTGGGACGCCCACCCCAGCCCGGCCACCCCCGGCCACGCTCCTCCGCCGCCGGGAGCCCGAGAAGCGGGCGGCTCAGCACTTTCTCCTTGGAGCCGCATCACAGCCCCATGGGGAGGCTCTCTGGAGGGCGGCCAAGCAGGTAGTGACGAGTGGTTAGAAGTGATCTCCGCGCCTGCCACCCGAGACTCGCCAGGGGCCCTGCGCCTCCTCTGCCACCGCCCTGCCCCCTCCTGTGCAGACGCGGGGACCGGGCCTCACCACTCCCCTTGCCCCCCCCCCAGGGACAGGTCACTGGCCACCCGGTGCCGGGCGTCAGCCAGGTGTCCGTCGGAGGCTCCAAGGCTGTGAGTCCCTCCCGGCCCGTCACCTGCGGGCCACCCCCGCCCCCCCGCCCTCCCGGGGGACACTCCTCCCCGAAGCCGTGGGCTCGCGGGGGCCCCCTTACCGGCACTGTCTGCGCCCCGGCGATGGGCTGTGTGCTGGCCTCCGAGCCCGGCTGCTCGGGGTGGGTCTGTGCTGGTGTGTACAGGGTCATGCCGTGCTCTGGGGGAACCGGGGTCTGGCCCGAGTAGTCCTGCGTGGGATGCGGGGGGGGTGGCGCGTACTCGGCGGGGATGCCGTTCTGTGGCGGAGGGGGGTACTGGGCAGGGGGGTAGGGCTGGGCCATCGCTTCAGGCGGAGCCGTGGCGTCCTGATTGCCCTGTGGAGGCAACGAGAGTGCGCAGGTTAGACGCCTGGCAGGCCCGACGCTGCCCCCTCCCGAGGGCTCGTGGGGCCGTGCAGGTGGGTTTCCAGAAGTTTCTGCGGCCTCGATGCTGGGCTGTTGGCAGCATGGCCCAGGCCCTCTGGGTGGGTGGGGGCTCCCGGACATGGGGCACCAGATCTGAGCCGCCGGAGCTGCCCTCAGGTGGGGGTGTCGGGGCGCCCAGGGCTCGAGACCACTCGCACATCCTGGTCAGACCTGAGGACGTTAAACCGTCAGAAAGAACAATTCTGTGATCCCGCACACCCTCTACACAGTGTCCACCAGCGGGACCTCTGGTGGGGCCATTGTCCCACCAGGGGACGCTGATGCAGTCGCCATACAGGAGGACCTACAGTGAGGGTCCCTCCCATGTCCCTTAGAGCCGCGCCCACCTCCCTCCTGCCTTACGAAGGCTTCAGGCCTCAGTTTCCCCATCGGTAGAGCAGGCAAAGGAGGGCACCATCACAGCCCGAGGGGGAGGTGGTTGGAGTCGACCCCATGGCGCTGGGAGCCCAGCACAACACAGCCCCCGTCTCCAGACCCCCGAGCTCGTCTCTGGGACACCCCACCCCTCCCCTCCGGGCCCCTCTGCCCCCAGCCACGCTGCAGGGCAGAGGCTCCTCAGATGGGGTGCTTGGACCCAGGAGCGTCGCCTGGGAGTCTGTCAGCTGACACAGGTCCTCGCCTGCACCCCAGACCCCCCGCAGCAATATGGACACACGTGGGAACCCCTGATGTAGCCCGGGGAGAGAGCCCCGCAGCCCCAGAGAAGGGACTGGGGTCCCCACGCTGTCCCTGGGGTGGGCAGGGGCAGGGCTACTTTCTGGTTGCTCCTACTTACTGTTCCCCACTGAGGATACACACGGAGTGGGGGGTGGAGGGCAGGTTTGCAGCAGCCTCTCTGAGCAGGTGAGGCACTCTCTGGCCTTCCGAAGGTGTCCCCGGGGGAGAGAGAGCCCCCTCCATCGGGAAGGTCAGGTGCCACCCCTCCCTCGAGATCGTGTGGAAGGACCCTTGCATAGACTGGACAGTCCGACACTTAGGGCCACTGTCCCAACATCTCACCAAGGAGGAACCCGTGCTCTCCCATGCTGCCCCGTCACACCACCCTTGGCATGTTTTCAGGGTTGTTTCCTAGCCTATCCCCCCGTGACACCGGTTCTGCTTCCAGAGAACATGCCGGGTCTTGCTCCGTCCCTTGTGGCTTACTACTATGTATCCCCCCAACAACTGTTTATCGGGGCTCTGGCGGGGATGGAGAGGGATGGGCAGCCCTGACCTCTGTGATCCAGAGTGGGTGTGGATTCAGAGAATTACCCTGAGTGCGAGGGGCCCTGAGGAGCCTGGCCTCACAAGGTGCTGGTGCAAGTGGGTAAGACCCAGGCCCAGGGCCCTGTCCCCCACCTGCCGACCTGTCCACCTGCCCACCTCCCTGTAGGCAGGAAGCCTCAGGCCAACTCTCTGCCAGAGGCCCCAGCCCCTGTGCACCCCCGTGCCAGCCTCTGCACTCACTACCCCTGACTCTTGGGGGGACCCCTGACCCCGCTGCGCAGTGGCCTAATGAGCAGAACGTCCTGTCCCACGGCACGTGTGTGTGTCACACACACACTCATGAGTGCATGATCCTCGCTGGACAGTCCCCCTCACTGCTCCCAACTCACCCACAAAGTCCCACTACCTACAGTGAGTGAAGGAACATGCTGGGTGGGAGAAGGGGAGGGTTCATGGTGAGGAGGGAGCAGGTGGGGGTGGGAGGAGCACCCAGGCCAGGGAGGGGTGGAGGCCAGGGCAAGGGAGGGGGGGGCGGGGGCGGGGTGGGGAGGAAGAGGAGCAGGCCAGGGGAAGGGACAGGACGTTGTCAGCTGCCTGGAGAGATCAATTAACTGATAAATACTTGATTAGAACCTCCACTAACTCACCTCTTCCCAGTGTCCCCACACCTTCCCTCCTCCAAGGGCCCTTCTATCTGCTCCTTGTCACCCCATCCCTGCCCCCCGCCCCCCGCCCCCTCTTCCCTGGGTCCCCTGGGGACTGAGTGACGCCACCACTCCCAGCACAGCGGCCCCCGGAGCTGGAGCCCGGAGCCCAGGCTGTCGGGAACCTGCAGCACACAGGTGGGACCCAAGAGCAGGGTGTCAGGCTGAAGGGGTGCGGGGGGTGCAGGAGGCAGCTGTGAGACGGCCACCCAGGACCCTTTACCATGTGGCAACGAATCAGCACATCTGAGCACACAGTGCTCTCTGCTTTGCACACTAACTCATTTAATCCCCCTCCGATCCCCAAGGTCACAGTATCGCCCATTTCACAGCTGGTAAGACCGAGGCACAGACGGCCTGGCTCTTAGGCCTGCACCCCTGCTCCTGCATGCACAGCTCTGCCCCTTCACGGGCGGGTCCTGGGGGACGGGATGGGAGGTTTCACAGCCCAGGGACACAGTTTAGAGCCTGGGATACACAAGGAGGGCTCCCTCTAGCCACGGGGTGGCCCTGGGTGACCATTCGTCCTCTTTGAACAAAGTTGTCCGTCTGCGAGAGGTTATCATGGGGCCCAGACAGAGGAAGCGCAGAATAAAAGCTAGCCAGCGTGGTCTGGTGGGTCCGGGGGTTGTCTCACCACTCCTGCCACCCACGCTGGAGGGGACTGTGGTCACGTGAGGGGCCCTCACTCTGGCTGCACATCCCACGCCTGGACCCCTCCCCAGGGCAGCTGAGTGCATTTAAGACCAAACTCTCCCATGACGTTCTGCTGTGTGGCCCGGGCTGAGGGCCCCTGGACCAGACCTGGAGGGAAGAGCAGAGGGTGTCGGGTGCACCGAGGGTGTGACGCGCCTGACACGGAGAGGCCAGCACGGCCGGCGCAGTCACGTTCCTGTCCTTCCTTCTTCCTCGGTCCGCTGGGGCTACAGTGGAAGAGGCTTGGGCTCTGCGGCATGAGCAAGCACAGTCCTCCTGCCAGGCTGGGGCCTCGTCTCAGAGCAGCTTGTGAACGTGTCTGGCTCCCCAGAGGCCTGGAAATCCCCAGAGCCTGAGGGCGACTCGCTCACTCTCGCTCCCACATCCTTGCACTCAGCACAGCACTTTGCTGCACCCAGAAGAGCCTCCATGTGTATTGAATGGGTGGGTGTGTGGATGGAGGGATGAATGGACAGACTAAAGGACAAATAGGCAGATGAATGGATGGATGGATAGAAGATGGATGGATGGATGGATGGATACATGGATGGACAGATGGAAGGATGGATGGATGGATGGATGGATGGGTGGATGGATGGAAGGATGGATGGATGGGTGGATGGATAGATGGATGGATGGACATGGAAGGATGGGTGGATGGATGGATGGATGGGTGGATGGATGGAAGGATGGGTGGATGGATGGATGGAAGGATGGTGGATGATGGATAGAAGGATGGATGGATGGGTGGATGGATGGATGGATGGGTGGATGGATGGATGGATGGGTGGATGGATGATGGATGGAAGGATGGATGGATGGAAGGATGGATGGATGATGGATGGATGGATGGATGGAAGGATGGAAAGATGGACGGATTGATGGATGGACATATGGAAGGATGGGTAGATGGATGGGTAGACAGGTGAAGGGATGAGTAGATAGTCATTATACCACTTTCTCTACAAACTTATTCCTCTCTCCCATTGTTACATTTTCCCGATAGAACTGGTCAGATCCAGCTCTGCCCCCTGTACTCCATGGCTCACACTGTTGGAGAAAAGCCACAAAATCACCCTGAATGATTCACTTGAGATCACTAACCACCGACCAAAGCAGTTTCCATTTCCTGTTTTCTGCAGAAAACAAGAGTGGAACGTCCGCGCTCACCTGCTGGCCCGCTGGCCTCATACCCCAGAGCCCAGCCCTTCTCACCAACGCATGCTCACAGCGCTGGGGATTCGCTGCAACATCTCCCACGGCAGGAGCAGGACAACCTCCTGGACTGTCGTCCCTTGAGGCTACAACCCAGCTAGCTGTTTCCCTAGGGAGCAAAGTCTCTGGAATGAGCTGCTAGATCTGCACCCCCAATTCTTCTACTCCCACTCCTTAGCCCCACTCCAAACTGGCACCATTCCCTGAAACCACCTTTGTCAAGGGTCCCACGTCTGCCACACTGAAATCCTCACCGGACCTGGTCCCTCAGCAGCACTGACTCCTCTCTCTAGACTTTCCTCGCTCGGTTTGGTTGCAGCACGCGCTGTGGGTTCTTCTGCTTCCATGGAAGTTCCTTCTGCATCTGTGTTACTGTTTCCTCACATCTCCCCAACCTGCAAACGTTGGAGGCCCCCCGAAACCCGGTCTTTGGGTCCTCTCTTACGTGGCTAGACTCATTACCTCAAGGTTCTCAGCCTCAATTTTAAAATAGCACTGTACGTTGGCCACCCCCAACGGCTGCCAGCTGTCTGCACACCTAATCCATCATTCGAGCTTGACCTACTCCTGAAGGGACTCCTGCTTCCCTCCGTTGTCCTCATCAAATCCACCTCTCGTGAGGTCACCCACTGCCCACAGGTCGGTGCTCAGCCCTACACCTGGAGGGTGATACCTCTCCTTCTGTCCACTCCAAACAATCAAGCAGGGAGCCCCGTCAGTTCCACCTTCAACATGTACCCAGGACCCAACCGTCTCCGCCAACTCGCTGCTCCCATTTAGGTCTGCACCACCACCCCCCCGCCCCGAGATTTCCCCCAGTCTTCCTGCTTCTGCTCCTGCCCCGACGACCCATCCCCTCCAAGTAAAATCCAGACACTTGGAGGGGACCATCCCTGCATGACCTGGATGGTGGATAGACGGAGGGATGGATGGATGGATGGACGGACCCCCTACCACTGGGGCCTCCCTGAATGTTCTATGCTGAGCACAAGTGTCTCCGCTGCCCCTCGAATGTCCAGTTCTGGCCTCGAGGAATTTGCACTGACCGTTCCTTCTGCAGGGACACTG